CCACACGTATTAGGTGAGCATAGCTTTACAGGCAGGCAGCTTTGGTCACATTCGGCATAATCATACTCAGTCACAGGGAAACACAACAGCAGCGACAACAACAAACTGTTCCCCTCCAGTAATCTACATCGAAAGCCTCGACACAGGGCGTTATTATTCATCAAAGGTGGTACAACTAGCTTGTCCTCGTGAAATGCAGAGGTGAATAGGGACAGGTCCCAGAGTTCGAGCAACACAGCAGCGGTGCGATGAACCGACGCACTACACACTACACTACACTGCACTAGCATGCAGAAAGCATACATCTCCTAGCCACAAGCCCATTGCCCTAGATGGAAAGTGAACATCCCTAGGGTCCGTCTTGTACTGACATGGAGCCAGCAGCATCGCTGTGCATCAGTCTTTGTTGCGTCGCAGAGGAGGGGTACTTCGTTACTCGCAGAGCATGGTGTGGTGTGGTGTCTGTCCTGGAGATCGGCCTCCACCGCGGGGAGATCATCAAGCTCAATCCTCCCTGAAGAAAATGGAAAACGCAAAAGACCTATTGTTACATCACATCACACGGCCCAAAATGTTGAGGACAGCATTAATTTACGATGCAGTGACAACAGTACGTCCGTACATGTACAACTGCGGTGATCAAGTAGAGACATACTGTAAACGTACAAGGGTAGCCCCAACAGTAGAGTTGTGAACGTACACGGGTGGCCCTTACCAAGATGTACCAACAGTAGTTTTGTAAAGGTACACGGGTGGTCCTTACCAAGACGTACCAACAGTATTTTTGTACTTTCGACATCTGAAAGATTTCTATGATTACGAGAAGAGCTAAAATGTGCTCTCTCATAAACCCAAGCAACGGAAATCCATCTCAAGTGGAACTGCAATTACTGGTCGGTTGATTATTATTTTTAACGTCAGTTAATTGGCACAAAAAAAGGTTCCCACATTATACTGAATGTTTCTCTCTATTACATATCACGAAAAGTCTACCTTCCGTTGCTCCAGTATAATAAAGGGTACTGTGAGTCGTGAGGATTGAGAGTGGCATTTTGTTGTTGTGATTGCGAAGCTAAGTAATTTTCACCGGTGATGCGTATTAATATTTTCACACAACCTATGTTACACTGAGTCATTGACCACATCAGAGAATGTGATACACAATCTTAGTGGTCTGCTTTTGTCATCTGTCTACTGAAGCAGACCCTAAGCGTACCAATGTGCAATATATGCATCCCAGTTAAAAGGATGCATACCAGTACTGAAGAATGCAAAATCTGCAGAAAACCAGGGCGTGTGTGTGCACAAGTGTGTGTGTGGTAATGCAACAACACAATCAGAGAACAATGTATCACATTCACCTACAGCATCAAAATGGATGTATATAGACAAATTCACTGACAAAGATCAACTCTTGCATCAACTGATATACTGACTGTCAGAACTCAGAAATAGCCCTTTCGAGAAAACAGACTAAAACAAAAACTAACCCGTACAGGAAATTGGTGTTCAGAATGCACAAAATGCAAAATCATACCATGAAATGATTGATCTTGATGTCATGAGAAGAATGTGAATGCAATCGAGGATATCAGCGTGGAGTTCCAAGACGGAGGGCAATGCTAAGATTATTCAATTATTTTCTTTGTTTGTTGTACTGACTCATATCATCAACTTCAGTTCAGCACGTGCTAAAAGAGCATCTGGACATTGATAGCTAGCTGATATCTTCTTTCCTCATGCTAGGAGAGATATTTACATTAAGGCTTAGTTTGGTATTTGCCGTGGCTTATAATCCACGGTCATAGCATTTTCTTTATAACCACAAGAAAAAAGTCCATTTTACTACCCTGAACAAAGTTGGTGGTTCACATTACCCCCCGATTTATTTTTCTGCTCGTTTCACCCCCTAGACAAAACCCATACCGGACAAAAGACCCCCCCCCCCCTGGGTGGTTTGTGTCAACTTGCAGCTGACGTGGCACTGGTCAATGGTGGTTTTGACCTGCGGGTGGGGCCCACTTGTCATCTGAAACAGGAAATTAGCGTGTGTAATTTGACGTAGGCCCACTTGTCATCCTACCATCTCTCTTTTATCCCGTTCTCTGGCATTCCGCCGAGCACTTCGTGAGCTCATCGGAGAGCTCGTTGTTGGCGGCGTCAAGATCAGGAAGGCGGACTGCGGGGGAGGCCGGTTCAGGAGACCTGCGTGCGAGGAAGCAGGACGAGGGGTCGATGCAGAACGCCGACGCGTAGAACTCCTGTATCTTCGAGGGGCCGAGGCGCGAGGCCGACGTGACCCCGGCGGTACAGCTGCACATCGGCGATGCGCTCTGGACAAGGCAGCGGAGTTTGATGCAGCGCTGTGTCTCAAGCCGCTGTCACCTGCTGCACTGCTGCTCGCCCCAACGCTTTTTTTCTTTCAAATCCGCATCGGCTACCAGCGTCAGCACGGCGATGCCGGCCTTGGGCGGCACTGGAGAGGCGAGCGGGGAATGATGGGAGGTCGAGGAGGACGGGAAGATCCCGCAGGAGATGCAAGGCGGAGAGATGGGTGCAGGGGATGTACGGGGACGACGGGATGGTCGCCGGAGGCGGCGGCCATAGCGTGGCATCGGGGCAAGGTGGCTCGAGGCCGAATGGGTTGACGGGTACTTGTCTGGAAGCTGCGCGAGGTCAAGGCAGAGCTTATGGTGGAAGAAGAGCCGCTGGGCTAGCCAGAGTGGAGCGCATCGACGACGAGGACGTCGGTCGAAGCCGAGGAAGAACAGTACATGTGCATCGCATCTGGGGCATCCGGTGCCAATTCCTCCCACGGGGATTCTGGGCGTGCATGCGGCCGTGCTCGAGCCGCGGCGCCGGGCCACCACCCGCTCGGCCTGCCGCGCCCTCCACCGCCCCGGCGCACCACCTCGAGCCGAGGAAGAACAGGACGCGTGCGTCGCGTCTGGGGCTTCCTGCACAGATTCCTTCTGCATGGAGTCTGCGCGTGCATGCGGCCGTGCTTGAGCTGCCGCGCCGCGGCACCAGCCGCTCGGCCCACCGCGCCCTCTGCCGCCCCGGCGCACCACCACGAGCCCACTAGTCAAATACAACCTTTGACCAGCAGGTAAACCAGCCAGGGGGTCTTTTGTCCGGTATGGGTTTGTCTAGGGGGTGAAACGAGCAGAAAAATAGATCGGGGGATAATGTGAACCACCAACTTTGTTCAGGGTAGTAAAATGGACTTTTTTCTAACCACAACAGCGAAATTATACTGCTCTCTCAACAGAAATAGTCTACATCAATGTATCCAAAGTTCCATTAGTGTTGAAAAACGTCTTACATTATGGGACGGAGGGAGTAGATGAGAGTTTTCAAAAGACTGGGGGAGAACAGAACTTTTCCGGTCAACTTTTTTGTATCATAAAAGTAATAAATGTAGCCTGAAAAAGAGCAGAAATTTTAGCATGGTGACAGAGTTAGCTACTGAAACAAAGGTTGCATCAGCTTACAGGTAGGGAAGAGAACGGTAGGACCTGAGTGCTGCCACATTTGTTTTCATATTTTTTCTAGAAGTGGAAATGAATACAAAAATCCCGGGAATGTATACGGAAACAGATACTACCAAAAATGAATACAAAGGGAACACGGTGCGGACGTGGATACAAAACCAGATGTTCGCCGGAACTAAAAGACCCTTGAACAATTGAGAAAAAACACAAGCAAACTGGCGAACTATTTCAATTTATATGACTACTACAAGCAAAGATCTCCTAAACCAGCCACACCCCATTGAGTCTGTTATGCTCAATCTAGTGGCTGTTTTGTATTGTTTTCTTCTTTTTTGCTGGAACCTTCAATCTAATAAGGTCTGGCCTTCAACCTGCTACTTTCTGGTTTCGTTGCTATCAATGGAACCAGGGGGTTCTTGGGCTGCCCTGTTTGTCTAAAAAAAACCATGGAAGCACCTATATACTGCAGCGAAGATGGGTAGGAGGCGTGTGGGCTGGCTTGCTGGGGATAGTGAAATGTAGAAGGGGATTAAGTTAGGTACTAATATGGGTTTTATTGGGTGCTGAACTGAGTGACGTAGCCATGGAAAAAGGGAAAGTTCTGTATTTACGGAAACGGAATTTCCGTTTCCAAGGCTGTTCAGCCGGAAAACGCCATTCCGTTTCCATTTCTGTTCCCGCTTCTGCATTTCCTCTCCATTTCCATTTTTCCGTCAAAAATCCGGAAAGTTTTGGCTCCGGTCATCCCTACTTACAGGGCTCCAAGGGAATTTTCTCTACTTCCAAGAGTGCAATCCATCCAAAGAATCACGAAGTCTGCTGGACTAACAGAATCACTTTTCCAGACATGTTTTAGGTTTTAACGAATAAAAACATGTTGACACATTTTCATTCTTGCTGTAGTCTGACAATCATATCCATAGGTTTGCATGACCAATGACTTGGAACTAATTTGTCAAATACGCCCTAACATAGATTAAAAGTCAAATCAGCATTGGATCAACTGAGGTTTATCCACTTTAATAAGATGGTTTCAATGTGGAAATAGCGTAATATTACAGCACGTGCGCACAACAATTTGTATTCCAACCTAACACGTACAGAAACAATTTCATGCAAGTTCTTGCAGGTCTTAAAAACTTTCTGTAGCACTTTGCTCTTACTAATATTATAGCACTCAAATCTGCATAAGGATCCAATCTGTTAAGAGTTACCAATATGGCTGATATTCAGTAGGGGGGCAAATAGTTGTCACGTAATCCCATGTTGTACATCAGCCTGTAAATGTCTTCCTTCTACCATTCTACGTTTTACGGCTATGGAATGGAGTCCCTTACTAGAACTAGCTTGGCTCTGAAAATCATTGTGCTACTTTGAAGCTTACTTGGGAGAGAAACTGAAGCACTAACTATTCCCTCATCTATTTCCTAGATAGGTGATTCACATATCAACTAACAGGATCAAATAGTTTGCATCAGATAAAATTACACCATGATTAAAGAGTGTTCAGGATCCATACCATTTGATAAGTGAGCCAAAGAGGAAATGCTGCATGATGGGCACCTTCTCAAGCACTTCAGCCTTGTACATCTTGAGCAGCCCACTGTTCACCTTCTTCCAGTTCGGCACCGCGCTGATATCATCCAACATCGGTGAATGCTCCGCAAAGGGCCCCTTCTTCACTTTTTTCACATACATGACGCACGCCAGGTACATGTACTCCTTCGAGAAGTTCTCCAAGATATCCGGGTTGTGGATCGACTTGGGTTTCATGTACTTGTGATCAATCAGTTGTGCAGCCCCAAACACAAAGGGCAGGAAATGGTAATCATCTAGCCCCCAGACGCCGTGCGAGCCCGCAGGCTCCAGCAGGTACGTGTCCTGCAGCGTGCGCATGAGGTCGAGGTAGGAAGCAAACACCCGTAGCACGACGGCGGGGTAATCGGGCTCGGTGATGAGCCCGAGCCGGGCCAGGCAGTAGAGGAAGGCGGCGAAGTTGGTCTCGTGCCCCGTGCCGTAGTCGATGCGGGTGCCGTTGCCGAAGGAGTCGAGGAGGTACGGCGCGAGCTCGACCTCGGCGCCGGCCAGGTCCGAGGGGGACGTGGCGGTGGCTGTGATGGGGGCGATCAGCTCGTTGACGGAGTCGCCGAGCTTCTCGTGCCAGAGGCGGAAGGCGGGGTTCCCGTAGCGGGAGCTGTGCGGGAACGGCGGGGTGGAGGCGACGAAGGCGGAGAGCGCGGAGATGAGGTCGAGGAGGGCGGAGACGGCGGGGGAGGGAGGGGAGGGGAGCGGGTCGGAGAGCTTGCGGCCGTGCACGGAGGCGGAGAGCGAGGCGACGAAGCCGAGGAAGTGGCGGCCGTGGGTGGAGTCCTTGAA